AACGCCTGTAATCCAGCTACTCAGGAGACTGAGGCAGGAGGACTGCTTGAACCCACGGCGGTGGAGGTTACAGTGAGCTGAGATCACGCCACTGCACTCCAGCCCTGGGCAACAGAGCAAGGCTGCATCTCAAAACAAACAAACAACAACAAAACAACTATATATACATATATATAATTGTTGCTATTATTAAGTGCTATTATTATATGAGACAGAGTCTCACTCTGTCCTGGTCTTGAACTCCTGGGTTCAAGCGATTCTCTCCTATTGACCTCCCAGAGTGCTGAGATTACAGGCATGAGCCACTGTCTGGCTAACAGTGCTCTAATTTATGGACCCATCAGAAGGAGCTCAGAGAGGTTAGTCAACTCTCCTGAGGTCACCCAGCAATGTAGTAACAGAGAGGACACCGGCCAGGTGCGGTGGTTCACTCCTGTAATTCCAGCACTCTAGGAGGCTGAGGTGGGCAGATCACTTGAGGTCAGGAGTTCGAGACTAGACTGCCCAACGTGGCGGAACCCCGTCTCTACTAAAAATACAAAAATTAGCTGGGTGTAGAGGCGGGCACCTGTAATCCCAGCTACTTGGGAGGCTGAGAGAGGAGAATTGCTTGAACCAGGGAGGCGGAGGTTGCAATGAGCTGAGATCGCACCACTGCACTCCAGCCTGGGCGACAGAACGAGACTGTGTCTCAAAAATAAAAATAAAAAACGGAGTGGACCCTGGATCTCAGGGGACCCGGGGCAGGGACCGGGGCGGGTGGGGCTGGGGGCGGGGCCCAGGCTGACCGCTGTCCCCTCTGCAGGTCTTCATCGCCCAGACAGTGCTGCGGAACCCGCCTGCCATGAGCCCCTCCGGGCAGCTGTCCCGCGCCACGGAGCAGCAGCTGCTCATCTACTTGCGCGTGGCCACGTGGAACCAGATCCTGGACCCCTGGGTGTACATCTTGTTCCGCCGCGCCGTGCTCCGGCGCCTGCAGCCTCGCCTCAGCACCCGGCCCAGGTCGCTGTCCCTCCAGCCGCAGTTCACGCAGCGCTCCGGGCTGCAGTAGGAATTGGACAGAGCGCCCCTCCCGCGCGTTTCCGCGGAGCCCTCGGCCCCCTGGGACAGCCCATCTGCTGAGGATTCAGGAACTGGGGGTGCTGGATGGACAGTGGGCGTCAGCAGCAGGGTTTTGGGGTTGACCCCAATCCAACCCGGGGAACCCCAACTTCTCCCTTTTACCAAGACCTCTCCCTTTCTCGGCTCCCTTTTCCCATCCAGAGCTCCTACCACTTCTCTGCGCCCCTCCCAGCCCCAGGAAGGGCGCGGGGACATTGGAAGAGAGTCTTGCATAGCTATTATTATTTTTTTTTTTTTATGGAGTCTTGCTCTGTCCCCCAGGTTGCAGTGCAGCGGCACCATCTCAGCTCACTGCAACCTCCACCTCCCGGGTTCAAGCGTTTCTCCTGCCTCAGCCTCCCGAGTAGCTGGGCCTATAGGCGCATGCCACCATGCCCAGCTACTTTTTGTATTTTCAGTAGAGACAGGTTTCACCATGTTGGGCAGGCTGGTCTTGAACTCCTGACCTCAGGTGATCCATCCGCCTCAGCCTCCCAAAGTGCTGGGATTACAAGCATGAACCACTGCACCTGGCTTTTTTTTTTTTTCTTTTTTTTTGGGCGGGGTCTCACTCTGTGGCCCAGGCTGGAGTGCAGTGGCACCATCTCAACTCATTGCAAGCTCCACCTCCTGGATTCAAGCGATTCTCGTACCTCAGCCTCCTGAGCAGCTAGGACTACAGGCGTAAGCCACTGCGCCCGGCCTTCCATTGCTCTTTCACCCTGAATTTGACCTACTTGCTGGGGTACTGTTGCTTCCTTTTGAACCATCAACCGGGAAGGTTCTGTCCAGAAAAAATTGAATGTGAACGGGGGCACCCCCTTTTCTTGCCAAAATGTATCTCTGCCTTTGGTTTTATTTTCCTTGGGGTCCAGTTGTCAGTCTCTGGGGTTTTGTGCACTGAACCTCACCCGGGGCAGACAAGGGCAAGGCTGGGGAGGATGGGGAGGGAAGAGAGGATTCAGTTCCTCCCCCACTTGTTTCTCGAGTGTTTCGTAATCACTTCATGGGTGGCACCGCCTAGAATTCTCCCAGCAGCCTGTCATGGGAGGGCTTCAGGTTAGCCCTGGTCAAACCACCTTTGAATCTGCGTGTTATTAAAAGTAGGTATAATTGGGCCAGGTGTGATTGTTCATGCCTGTAATCCCAGCACTTTGAGAGGCTGAGGATGGTGGATCACCTGAAGTCAGGAGTTCGAGACCAGCCTGGCCAACATGGTGAACTCCTGTCTCTACTAAAAATACAGAAATGGCTGGGCGTGGTGGCTCATGCCTGGAGTCCCAGCACTTTGGGAGGCCGAGACGGGTGGATCACCTGAGCTCGGGAGTTCGAGCCCAGCCTGACCAACATGCAGAAACCCCATTTCTACTAAAAATACAAAAGAAAAAGAAATAAATAATTAGCTGGGCGTGATGGCGCGTGTCTATAATCTAAGCTACTCGGGAGGCTGAGGCAAGAGAATCGCTTGAACCAAGGAGGTGGAGGTTGTGTTAAGCTGAGATCATGTCCTTGCATTCCAGCCTGGGCAACGAGAGCAAAACTCCGGCTCTAAAGACAAACCAACAAACAAACAAAAAATTAGCCAGGCGTGGTAGCAGGTGCCTGTAATCCCAACTATGCAGGAGGCTGAGGCAGGAGAATTGGTTGAACCCGGGATGCAGAGGTTGCAGTGAGCTGAGATCACACCGCTGCACTTCAGCCTGGGCGACAGAGTGAGACTCCACCTCTAAATAAATAAATGAATAAAACAGAGAAAGAGAGAGAGAGAGAGATGCAAAAGCGTGGAGTGATGCCCCTGTTTCCTCTACTGTTCACTTGTTCACCCAACAGTCTTTCAAACACCACAGTGTTCTGTACAGCACCTTGCACATGGTAGGTGCTCAATAAATATTGGGAGAAAGGACCAATGGTGGCTGGGCGCAGCGTCTCATGCCTGTAATCCCAGCACTTTGAGAGGCCGAGGCGGGCAGATCATGAGGTCAGAAGATCGAGACCATCCTGGCCAACACGGTGAAACCGCATCTCTACTAAAAAGACAAAACATTAGCCGGGTGGCCGGACGCGGTGCCTGAAGCCTGTAATCCCAGCACTTTGGGAGGCCGAGATGGGCGGATCACAAGGTCAGGAGATCGAGACCATCCTGGCTAAAACAGTGAAACCCCGTCTCTACTAAAAAAAAATATTTAGGCCGGGCGCGGTGGCTCAAGCCTGTAATCCCAGCACTTTGGGAGGCCGAGACGGGTGGATCACGAGGTCAGGAGATCGAGACCATCCTGGCTAAAACAGTGAAACCCCATCTCTACTAAAAAAAAATATTTAGGCCGGGCGCGGTGGCTCAAGCCTGTAATCCCAGCACTTTGGGAGGCCGAGACGGGTGGATCACGAGGTCAGGAGATCGAGACCATCCTGGCTAACCCGGTGAAACCCCGTCTCTACTAAAAAAATACAAAAAACTAGCCGGGCGAGGTGGCGGGCGCCTGTAGTCCCAGGTAGTCGGGAGGCTGAGGCAGGAGAATGGCGTGAACCTGGGAGGCGGAGCTTGCAGTAAGCCGAGATTGCGCCACTCACTCCAGCCTGGGCAACAGAGCCAGACTCCATCTCAGGGGAAAAAAAAAAAAAAAAGGACCAATGGCTGGGTCTTCGTGGAGCACCTGTCCCATGCAGGCACGTAAGCTCATCCCTATGTGGTGCTTAATGAAGTGCTTGGTACACAGTAGGTGCTCGAGAGGTTGCCATAGTTTCAGTCAACCCCTCAGCCCCATATCTTGGCATTCCCCCAAACTCCCTGCAAAATGACACACCAGGCTGCACAGATGGAAAGTGCCTTTATTCACCATGAACCCTCAGGGTACATGCGGTGCAACCCATCTCCTGCCCTCCTTTTCCCTCCAAGGACCTGGATCTGACCCAGGGCCGGTGAAACCGAAGCCCCTGTTTTCACCACCACACACCCCGCCACCACCGCCTGCTGGGGAAATAAGGTCACTTGCTGCTTCTGGGGGGCCCAGGCTGGGAGGGACAGGAGAGGGTGAGAACCACATGAGCCAGGGCTAGGTCACAGCCAAGCTACGACCCCCCGCGGTAAGTGTGGGGCCCTGGCTCCTCCAGAGTTGGGGAAGGGGCAGGCGCCAGAGCTGGGGACTCAGACAGCTGGGAACTCAGGAGGCCTCTGGGGGCAGGACTAAGAGTGACAGATATGGTGGGTGGGGTGGATTTCTGGGGTCCCACCTGGGGCTTGGGAGAGACGGCTGGCTTCTGGGGGGTTGAGGAGACCTGTGGCTGAGGGGCCGGGTAGGAGGCGAGGGATAAGCCTGGGATGGGGCCGAGGCTGGCCTGGGTGCCACGTACCTGCTCTTGGGGCTGAGGCAGAGGCTGGGGGTCTTTGCTAGGGGCTGGGGTAGGGTCTCTGGGGGGTGGGCCTGCGGGCTGAGGTTGGGTTGCGGCAGGGGCCTCAAGCTGGATTCTAGGGTCAAGGCCAGGGGTCTGTGGGGAGAGCCCATTTCTAGGGCTCAGCCAGATTCTTGAACTGATGTGAGTTCTGGAACTGGACTGGGTTCCAGAACTAAGGTGGGCTCCAGGGCTGGGCTGAATTCTTGAGCCAGTCTGGGTTTCAGAGCTGAGCCCAGTCTCAGAGCTGGACTGGGTTCTGGAGCTAAGGTGGGCTCCGGAGTCGGGCTGAATTCTTGAGCCAGTCTGGGTTTCAGAGCCGAACGGAATCCCAGAGCTGAGCTGGGTCCCAGAGCTGGGCTGGGTTCCAGAGCTGGGCTGAGCCGCAGAGCTGAGCCCGGTCTCAGGACTGGACTGGGTTCTGGAGCTAAGATGAGCTCCGAGGCTGAGCTGAATTCTTGCACGGGCCTGGGTCCCAGAGCTGAGCTGGTTTCCAGAACCGGTCTGAGTTCTGGAGCTGGGATGGGCTCCAGGAATCAGCTGCGTTCCAGAACTAAGCTGACTTCCACAGCTGGCTTGAATTCTTGAGCTTATCTGGGTCCCAGAGCTGGGCTGAGTTCCAAAGCTAGGCTGACTTCCAGAGCTGGTCTGCTTCCCAAAGTCTAGTTGAATACCAGAGCTCTCTGAGGCTGTGGTCTGGAGCTGGTACCTAGAACCTGGCAAGGTTTTAGAGGCGAATTGAGTCCCAGAGGCTGGTCGAGCTCCTGGGCAGCGCTGGGTCTTGGAGCTGGGCCTGCTGTCAGAACTTGACGGGGCTGTGGAGCTTAACTCTGTTGCTGCGATGGCCTGGGTCCCAGGACTAGGTAGGACTCCTGAGCTTAGTTGGATTCTGGAACTTGGCTGGGTCTCAGCCACTGTCTGTGTTTTGGAGCTGGCTGGGATTTCAGAACCAGCCTGTGCTCCAGAACTGAGCTGAGTTCTAGAGTTGAGTGCAGTGCCTGGGCTGGATTGAGCTCTGGAGCTTGGCCAGGCCTTGAAATTGGTCTGCATTCTAGAGCTGACCTGCATTCTGCAGGAAGAGTGGGACTTGGCACCAAGCTGTGTGCTGGAGCTGGGCCTTGCTTCCAAGATGGATGGGGTTCCAGAGCTGGTCTGAATCCTGCAGTTGGGCCTGGTTGTAGCACTAGGTGAGGTTCTAGAGCTGGGCTCAGTCTCAGAGCTGGAATCGTCACTGGCGCTGGACTGGGCTGCAGGGTGGGGATGGGTACTTGGATGCAACTGGGCTTGGGATCTGGACTGGGCAGTTGTGTGGACCTGGGTTTCTGAGCTGGTCTGAGTTCTTGAATAGGATTTGGTTTGGGAGCTGTCTCTGAATCCTGAACTGGCTGGAGTTCCAGAGCTGGGTTGCTTCATGAATCTCACATGGGTTCCAAAATTAACTGGGGTTCTGGAGCTAGACCGAGTGTCCAGGTGTGGCTGCATTGTGGAGCTGTCCAGAGTTCCAGAGTCAGCTCGAGTTTTCCAGCAGGGCTTGGTCTCTGAACTAGCCTGGATTCTGGAACTGGGATTGGTCTCCAAGCTGGTCTGGGTCTTAAAATTTGTCTGGGTTCCAGAGCTTGGCTTGTTGTCAGGGCTCAGCTGGATTCTAGAGATGAGCTTCATCTCAGAGCTGGCCTGGGCTTCAGAGCAGGGCTTGGTCTCAGAGCTGACCTGAGTTCTAGAGCTGGGCTTGGCCTCAGAGGTGGCCTGAGTTCTAGAACAGGGCTTGGTCTCAATGCTGGGCTGGGCTCTAGAACAGGACTTAGTCTCAATACTAGGCTTGGTCTCAGAGTTCATCTGAGTTCTAGAGCTGAGCTTAGTCTCAGAGCTGACCTGAGTTCTAGAGCTGGGCTTGGCCTCAGAGGTGGCCTGAGTTCTAGAACAGGGCTTGGTCTCAATGCTGGGCTTGGTCTCTGAACTTATCTGGGTTCTAGAGCTGGGCTTGGTCTCAAAGCTCATCTGGTTTCTAGAACTGGGCTTGGTCTCAGAGCTGGCCTGGGCTCTAGAACAGGACTTAGTCTCAATACTAGGCTTGGTCTCAGAGTTCATCTGAGTTCTAGAGCTGAGCTTAGTCTCAGAACCCATCTGGGTTCTAGAGCTGGGCTTGGCCTCAGAGGTGGCCTGAGTTCTAGAACAGGGCTTGGTCTCTATGCTGGGCTTGGTCTCAGAGCTCATCTGGGTTCTAGGGTTGGGCTTGGTCTCAGAGCTGGCCTGAGTTCTAGAACAGGGCTTGGTCTCAATGCTGGGCTCATTCTCAGAGCCCATCTGGGTTCTAGAGCTGGGCATAGTCTCAGAGCCCATCTGGGTTCTAGAGCTGAGCTTGGCCTCAGGGCTGGCCTGGGCTCTAGAACAGGGCTTGGTCTCAATACTGGGCTTAGTCTCAGAGTTCATCTGAGTTCTAGAGCTGAGCTTAGTCTCGGAGCCCATCTGGGTTCTAGAGCTGGGTTTGGCCTCAGAGGTGGCCTGAGTTCTAGAACAGGGCTTGGTCTCTATGCTGGGCTCAGTCTCAGAGCCCATCTGGGTTCTCGAGCTGGGCGTGGTCTCAGAGCCCATCTGGGTTCTCGAGCTGGGCGTGGTCTCAGAGCCCATCTGGGTTCTAGAGCTGGTCATGGTCTCAAAGCTCATCTGGGTTCTAGAAACCCTGGGCTTGGTCTCAGGGCTGGCCTGAGTTTTAGAACACGGCTTGTTCTCAATGCTGGGCTTGGTCTCAGAGCTGGCCTGGGCTCTAGCACAAAGCTTGGCCTCAGATCTGGGCTGGATTCTAGAGAAGGGCTGGGTTCTGGAGCTGGGCTGGGGCTCCAAATTGGATTGAGCTCTAGAGAGGAACTTGGCCTCCGATCTGGGCTGGGTTCTGGAGCAGGGCTGGGGCAGGGGGCGGGGCTCCAGGCTGGGGCTGTGCTGGGCTCCCCCAGGGCAGACTAGCCACAGGCCTCCCTGGCCTCGCTGATGGCGGCCCACACCTCCACCACAAATTCGTCGGGGAAGGCGAACTCGCCCAAGACGGAGTCTAAACAGCGTGCAAACTCCTGGGCGCTCACTGTCTTCTTGGACGTCTCCACCATGGTGGATGCTGCGGGCCATGCCGGAGGGGTTGTCAGTGAGGGCACTCCCCACTCCAAACTTCCCGCTGGGACCCCTGCCTCCTCCCGTAGGCTGCCCTCCCGCCAGGGCCCCCCAGCTTACCCTGGCCCCTTACCCAGCTCGGGGTCCCGAATGCCCATGTAGCTTTCCAGCAGGTCATCAACCTTCTGGGATGCCTCTTCCTCAAACTCACTGGGCTGAGGGCACAGGAGAGGGAAGTCAGGGGTGAAAAACTTTGAAGCCCTCCAGCCCAGCCCCTCCAGACCCCCACCCCTAAGGTTAGAGTGGACTGGACCCTCACATGAGTCAGTAGTGCTGGTACCCACATCCTTGCCCCACCTTTCAACGAGGACCCATTTTGCAGGCAGAGAAACCGAGGCTCTGAGAAGTTGTTGCCCAAGGCCACACTGACTCAGTGGTAGAACTGCAGGTGCAGAAGCCTGGGAAGAACCCCTCCCCTTCACTCACCGCCTCCTCCACTGTGGCAGCCCCCCCAGAACGAAGCCGCAGGGTCTCCCTCCCACTGGTCACTTTCGCCTCTACGGGACATTTGCTGGACCGACTTCTCTGGCCAATCATATCTGGAGGGAACAGAGTGAGGGATGGCCATGGGTTCTGGGTGGAGCCACATCTTTGTAAACCCTGGGAGGCCACCAGCCGAGCCTTTCTAGAATCTTCCTTCCCTTCAAAGTCCTCCTTTGCGGCGAATCTCCAGAGACCCTTTCGAGATTCCACACTTTCCGTCCCCAGCAAACTAAATCACAAGTCCAGAATGAGGTGTGATGGAGCAAGTTTAGAACTAACGTCCCAGTCCCATGCCCTCATTCTCCCTCTTCTAGGGACTGCTTGGGACCCTCCTTGTGGCAGGAGCCTCAGTCTAGGTATGTTCTTGTCTGGGTAATCCCAGCTACTTGGGAGGCTAAGGCAGGACAATCACTTGAACTTGGGAGGCAGAGGTTGCGGTGAGCCGAGATCGCGCCACTGCACTCCAGCCTGGACAACAAGAGTGAAACTCCATCTCAAAAAAAGAAAAATATTAAAAATTAGCTGGCACGGCCAGGCGCAGTGGCTCACGCCTGTAATCCCAGCATTTTGGGAGGCCAAGACGGGTGGATCACCTGAGCTCAGGAGTTTGAGACCAGTCTGGTCAACATAATGAAACCCCATCTCTACTAAAAATACAAAAATTATCCTGGCATGGTGGTACACGCCTGTAATCCCAGCTTCTCCTGAGGCTGAGGCAGGAGAACCTCTTGAACTGGGAGGCAGAGGTTGCAGCGAGCTGAGATCGCACCACTGCGCTCCTGCCTGGGCGACATATTGAGACTCCGCCTCAAAAAAAAAAAAAAAAGAAGAAAGAAAACTTTTCTCATATTCTCATTCTCTAGAATCCACTATGACCTCAAAGCACTACTTTAAAAGTTCCCAGGCTGCGTGCAGAGTGGCTCACGCCTATAATCCTAGCACTTTGGGAGGCCGAGGCGGGTGGATCACCTGAGGTCAAGAGTTCGAGACCAGACTGGTAAAGACGGTGAAACCCCGTCTCTACTAAAAATACAAAAATTAGCCAGGCGCAGTGGCGGGTGCCTGTAATCCCAGCTACTCGGGAGGCTGAGGCAGGAGAATCGCTTGAACCCGGGAGGCGGAGGTTGCAGTGAGCTGAGATTCAAGATCCGGCAGCCAAGGCCCACAGAGTGAGACTCCCTCTCAAAAAAAAAAAAAAAAAAAAAAAAAAAAAAAAAAAAAACTCCCAGCCTGGCTACAAAGTGGTTCTGGAGGCCTCCTCCTCCCACTCCACTTTACCCAGTCTCTCCCCCACCCCTCCCCCACAGACTGGTTCCATAACAATCTTTTAATAGAAACTACCAGTTTCTGTTACCCTGCCAGGAGCTAGTAGCCATGCAGCGGGTGCACCTAGAACCTTCCAGCCCGTCCCATCCCCGACCCTCCTCCACTCCCGGCATCCGGCATCCGTAGGACCCACTTCGGGAAGAGCTCCCGCCAGCCCGCCCGCCTCACCGAAGGCCCTCTTGGGCTGCACCAGGCGCAGGGTGAAGGGCTGGGACTTGGGCAGCTCCCGGAGCATCTTGGCCACCTCGTAGTGGCGGCAGCCCACAATGGAGTGGTCGTTGATGGCTTCGATGCTGTCACCCACGCACACTGCCTCGATCCGGTTGATGATACTGCCTTCCTTGATTCTCTGCAGGGATCCAGCGTCGCTGGCAGGGCAACCCCAGCCACCCGCCTCGAATCCCCAGAACCCACGTCGACCCAGAGTGTGGGGGCAGTTGCTGGACCCCAGGAGGCCACCTGCCCACCCCCTCCCGGGCACCTTGATGAAGGCGTAGCCGGCCCCGTTGTCCGTGATGGTCAACCCCAGAGCGTCCTCTGTCTTAGTGACCTCCACCTCCTTGGTCTCGCCTCGCACGTGGGCAAAGATGAAATCCTCCAGGCCTATCTGGCCCCCTAGGAGCTTCTGCATGTCCACTTTGTGGCTGTTGAGGGTGCAGAATAAAATCTTCCCGGGGGAGAAGGAACGCAGAGGTAGCCGGGGCACGCATCCTCCCACGCAGCCGCCCTGTCTGCGCAGGCCCTTGTCCCCAGCGACCAGGATCCCAGCCCATGGGAAAGGGCAGGGCGTGGGACCTCCCGAGAATGGAGAGAGGAGGGAGAAGGCGGCTTCCGGCAGGTGGAGACCCCTCTCCATACCTCCAGGACCTCCAGCCCCCAGACCTCCAGGTTTAATCTGCTGGCGCCCTCTGGGGGCTGCAGACCAAACGGACCCGGATTGGAAAAATGCCCAGGAACCCCCCAACCGCACCATGGCCTCAGACTTCCCATCTCCAAGGGGACCATCTGGAACCCCAGATGCCAGCTATTCCCAGGAAGCACAGAGGAGCTTCCCCGAGGGCTGGGGTCCGCTCCAAGCGAGGTCTGCGCAGAGGATTTTCTGGAATATCTAGGGGTCCTCTAGACCTAAGACCTCCCCATCTTTTGCGCAGAGCGTGCAAAGGGGAACCCTGGGGTGTGGCACCCCGTTCTCTGAGGGCTGCGTCTCTGAGATCCGGCGATTAGGCAGCCACCCCGACGTCTGGGATCCGGGGATCTGGGGTCTCCCGTCCAGCGTCCAAGCTCCCCACCCCTCACCACATCAGGCGGATGGTCTCGGGCGCGGGTGTCCGGGGTCCTTACCTCGGTGGGCGCGATCCCGAAGGCCTCGGCGATCTTGGCGTACAGCTCGCGGACGTTGGTGAAGCCCTCGATCTTGCCCGTGGGGCTCCCGTGCGCCAGCTGCGTGCGGAAGACCAGGCGCGGGCGGGCGCGGGGCGCAGCCGGGGGCTCCGAGGGCGCGGGCGGGGGCGCAGACGCGCGCGGGGCCTCGGCCCCCTGGGCCTCCCGGGCCGCTGCGCCCTCCATGGCGGGAGAAGTTCGGTCACCCACCCGGGCCCTCGCCGCCGCTGCCGCCGCCGGATCCGTCGCTTCCTGAAGCCTCCCCTCCCCCGGCCCAGGACGCGACAGCCGAGAAGCCCGGGTAAGGGGATCCGGGAACCCGAGCCGCCCGGGAAGGCGACACCGCGGGGTGCGCAGGGGTGGGTTGGGCCCCAGGTGTCCGGGCCCTGCCAGGGCCAGTTGCGCCCTCCCCGGGGATACTCGCAGTCTGGGGGTCCTGAGCTCAGGACCTTGGAAGAACAGGGACCACAAATAAGGACAGGGACAGGCCCGGAGCGGTGGCTTACGCCTGTAATCCCAGCACTTTGGGAGGCCGAGGCTGGCAGATGACCTGAAGTCAGGAGTTCAAGACCAGCCTGGGCAACATGGTGAAACCCCGTCTCTACCAAAAATACAAAAATCAGCCGGAGGCGGTGGCACACGCCTGTAATCCCAGCTACTCGGGAGGCTGAGATCACCTGAACCCGGGAGGCGGAGGTTGCAGTAAGCCAAGGTGGCGCCACTGCACTCCAGCCTGGGCAACAAAGCCAGACTCCATCTCAAAAAGAAAAAAAAAAAAAGGACAGGGGTGGCTGAGGGTGCTGGGGCACTTACTGTCTGCTAGGCGAAGTCATTGTTTTATTTTATTTTATTATTTTTAATGTTATTATTATTATTTTTTGAGCCGGTGTCTCGCTCTGTCACCCAGTTTGGAGTTCAGTGGCAGGATCTCAGCTCACTGCAACCTCTGCCCACCAAGTTCAAGCAATTCTAATGCCTCAGCCTCCCCAGTAGCTGGGATTACAGGCATACACCACCACGCCCAGCTAATTTTTTTTTGTTTTGTATTTTTAATAGAGATGAGGTTTAAAACCATGTTGGCCAGGCTGGTCTTGAACTCCTGACCTCAAGGGATCCTCCCACTTCAGCCTCCTAAAGTGTTGGGATTACAGGCATAAACCTCGGCGCCCAGCTGCTATTTTATTTCATCTGGCGTCCTGTTTGTCTCCAGGACTGGAGGAATGTCAGCTCCAGGAGGGCGGGGGCTGTTCCCCTGCTCTGTCCCCATGCCCAGTGCCCAGGGCACAGTGCCTGGCATACAGCGGGTACTCGGTGATCTTTGGTGAGGAGTGAATGGATGTCCAGGTCACAGATGAGGGAGGAGACCCCAGGCACCAGGAGACATTGGTAAAAATCCACTGGAATGCAATGCCGGAAACACCTATGTATCCATCAGATTCCTACCCAGGAATGTTGGCTCAATAAACAGCCATCCTGCCTGCAGTGGCGGGCCCTACAGCAGAGCCAGACACAGCCTCCGCCTGGGAGGAGCCTCACAAACTGAACATGGGGAGAGAAAAGAAAGTAGCAGAAGGGTTTGGATGAGGTAAGAAAGTTATGGAAGGCCTGGCGTGGTGACTCACGCCTGTAATCCAGCCCTTTGGGAGGCTGAGGCATGCGATCGCTTGAGATCAGGAGTTCGAGACTAGCCTGGACAACATGGTGAAACCCCATCTCTACTCGGGAGGCTGAAGCAGAATTGCTTGAATCTGGGAGGCGGAGGTTGCAGTGAGCCAAGATTGCACCACTGCGCTCCAGCCTGGGACAGACAGCACAACTCTGTCTCGAAAAAAAAAAAAAAAAAAAAGAGAGAGAGAGAAAGAGAGAGGGATTCACCTGCCTCAGCCTCCCAAGTAGCTGGAATTACAGGCATGTGCCACCATACCCACCTATTTTCGTATTTTTAGTAGAGACCAGGTTTCACTGTGTTGGCCAGGCTGGTCTAGAAACTCCCAGTCTCAAGTGATCTGCCTGCCTTGGCCTCTGAAAGTGCTGGAATTATAGGCGTGAGCCACTGTGCCCAGCCCACACAACTTTTTGAATGTACCAAAACCTACTGAATTGTATGCTGAAATTTTTTTTTTAAATAAAAAAACTGATGCAAAATGGTATTTTCCAGGCCTGCCTAGAAATGAGAAACTCTAAATTTGAGGTGGTGGTACCTGTGCCAGGAAAGGGTGAAACTGGGGTGGAGAGTGAGGGGGGTTGGCAGTATCGGGTTGTGTGAGTCTCCCATGGCAGCCGTAACAAAGCACCACACACTGGGTGGGGTGAGGTGGCTCTTGCTTGCGATCCCAGCACTTTGGGGTCCACTTTGGGAGGATCCACTTTGGGAGCCCAGGAGTTTGAGACCAGCCTGAGGAACCAGGTGAGACCCCATCTCTACAAAAAATACAAAATTAGCTGGGTGTGGTGGCATGCACCTGTAGTCCCAGCTACTTGGGATGCTGAGGTGGGAAGATGGCTTGAACCCAGGAGACAAACCCAGGAGGTGCAGGCTGCAGTGAGCTGTGATGGCATCTCTGCACTCCAGCCTGCGTGACAGACCAAGATCCTGTCTCAACCACAAAGAAACAGCTGGGCGCAGTAGCTTATGCCTGTAATCCTAGCACTTTGAGAGGCTGATTGCTTGAACCCAGTAGTTCAAGACCCCCATCTCACAAATAGGAACAAATTGGCCAGGCACAGTGGCTCACGCCTGTAATTCTAGCACCTTGAGGGGCCAAGGCGGGTGGATCACCTGAGGTCAGGAGTTTGAGATCAGCCTGGGCAACATGGTGAAACCCTGTCTCTACTCAAAATACAAAAATCAGCTGGGCGTGATGGTGAGTGCCTGTAATCCCAGCTACTCAGGAGGCTGAGATGGGAGAATCGCTTGAACCTGGGAGGTGGAGGTTGCAGTAAGCTGAGATCAAGCCATTGCACTCCAGCCTGGGGCTATAATAGAGTGAGACTCTGTCTAAAAAAAAAAAATTAGGCAAGAGTGATGGCAGGCACCTGTGGTCCCAGCTACTCACGAGAACCAGGTGGGAGGATCACCTGAGCCCAGGGAGGTCGACGCTGCAGTGAGCTATGATTGTGACACTGCACTCCAGCCTAGGCAATATAGTGGGACCCTGTCTCAAAGAAAAAAACTGTTGGGCATGGTGGCTCATGCCTGTAATCCCAGCACTTTGGGAGGCTGGGGCAGGTGGATCACCTGAGGTCAGGAGTTCAAGACCATCCTGGCCAACATGGTGAAACCACATCTCTACTAAAATACAAAAAATTAGCCGGATATGGTGGCAGGCACCTGTAATCCCAGCTACTCAGGAGGCTGGGGCAGGAGAATCACTTGAACCTGGATGGTGGAGGTTGCAGTGAGCTGAGATCGTGCCATTGCACTCCAGCCTGGGTGACATGAGCGAAACTCTGTCTGGAAAAAAAAAAAAAAGCAACAGCAGCAGTATGGGATGGGGGTGGGCACAATGGCTCACAACTGTAATCCCAGCACTTTGGGAGGCTAAGGCAGGAGGACACTTGAGCCAGGAGTTCACGATCAGCCTGGGCAACATAGTGAGACCCTCCCACCCCTAAAAAATAAAAAATAAACAAAAAGCACCACAAATGGGGAGACATAAAACAGCAGAAACTGATCCTCTCACAACTCCAGAGGCCAGAATTCCACAAGGAAGGTCCTGGCAGGGCCCTCAGAGTCCCCGGGCAGAATCTTGCCTGACGTCCACAGCTTCTGGCTGTGGGTGGCCTTCCTTGACGTTCCTTGGCTTCTAGATGTATAACTCCAGTCTTGGCCTCTGTTGTCACTTGGCTGTCTCTTTTCTGTGTCTGTGTCCAAATTTTATCTTCTTATAAGGAGAGCGGTCATGTTGGACTTAGGACCCACGCTACTCCAGTAATGACTTCATCTTAACTAATTATATCTGCAGTGACCCTATTTCCAAATAAGGTCACATTCAGAGGTTCTGGGGTTCAGATTATTCTCCGAATTTTTTTTTTTTTTTTTTTTTGAGACGGAGTCTCGCTCTGTCGCCCAGGCTGGAGTGCCGTGGTGCAATCTTGGCTCACTGCAAGCTCTGCCTCCCGGGTTCACCCCATTCTCCTGCCTCAGCCTCCTGAGTAGCTGGGACTACAGGCACCCGACACCACACCCAGCTAATTTTTTGTATTTTTTTAAGTAGAGATGGGGTTTCACCTTGTTAGCCAGGATGGGTTTTCTCCAAATTTTTTAGGATGTCTTATGTATGCCATTAAATGCAAAAGTCTCTGGAAAGGTTTGTCAATAAGCAACACACACACATATACACGTACACAAAATAAGCCAAACGCAGAACTCCCAGCAGTCTGCATCTCCAAAAGAATGGAAAATGGTCATTCCAACAAAAGCATGTACATGAATGTTCACAGCAGCATCACTCACAAGTAAATGGTAGAAACAGCCAAGAGTCCTTTGACAGATAGATGGGTCCATATAGCGGATTCATTCACACGCTGGACCATGACAGCCACCGAAAGGAATGAGGCTCTGACACAGGCCACAGCGTGGATGACCTTTGAGGACAATCACACTCAGTGAGAGAAGCCAGATACAAAAGGACACACAGTCCGGGCATGGTGGCTCATACCTGTAATCCCAGCACTTTAGGAGGTCGAGGCAGGCAGATAACCTGAGGTCAGGAGTTCGAGACCAGCCTGGCTAACACGGTGAAACCCTGTCTCTACTAAAAATACAAAAAATTAGCTGGGTGTGGTGGCGGGCGCCTGTAGTCCCAGCTACCTGGGAGGCTTGAGGCAGGAGAATCGTTTGAGCCGGGGAGGCGGAGGTTGCAGTGAGCCGAGATCGCGCCACTGCAACTCCAGCCTGGTGACAGAGCGAGACTCCGTCTGAAAAAAAAGGTCATGCTGTGTGCGGTCT